GCCGGTACTTATAGCCTCCTCTGCGGATGCAGCTCGAGAGATTATTAAAACCCATGATTTAATCTTTTCAAACAGGCCAAAATTAAACATCCCTAGTAGAGTAACTTATGGTTCTAAGGACATAGCTTTTGCCCCATATGGARAGTATTGGAGGCAAGCRAAGAGTATYGYRGTGCTWCATCTTTTAWSCAACAAAAGGGTTCAATCATACAGRCATGTRCGGAARGAAGAGACRTCTCTTTTGATTARAAMGATTCAAGAAACCCATGGATCRGTGGTTAAYTTGAGTGAGYTGCTTATTTCTCTTACRAATAATGTCYTCTGTAGGGTGGCTTTTGGGAGGACATATGATGGGCCAAAGTTTAAGGACATGTTAGATAGGTTTTTGGAGTTACTAGGAAGTTTTAGTGTCGGAAGTTATATTCCATCGTTAATGTGGGTGGATCGTTTGAGTGGATTAGAGCGAAGAGCTGATGATTTAATTAAAGAATTCGATGAATTTCTTGAGGATGTTTTCGAAGAACATGTAAACAAGAAAGTGGTTGGCATTGAAGGCCAAGATATTGTTGATATCTTGTTAGAATTTGAAAAAGAGGACACAATAGGTTTTCATCTTGAAAGAGATGAGATCAAGGCTATTATCATGGTAACATTTTTTTGTAGTTACAATTACACACCATTTGCAGTAGACAAGATTTTAGAGGTGAATTTTAAATTTCAGTAATGGCTTTCTTGAATTAAATGCATCTACTTTTTGTTCTTTATTTCTTGCAGGATGTATTTTCTGGTGGAACTGATACTACATTAGCAACCCTAGAGTGGGCAATCAGTGAGTTATTAAGACACCCACAAGCAATGAAAAAACTGCAACAAGAGGCACGAGAAATAGGTCAAGGAAGAACAATGATCACCGAAGACGACTTAGACAAAATGGCCTACCTAAAAGCCATCCTCAAAGAAACCCTGCAACTACACACTCCTATCCCGTTGTTTGTTCCTCGTGAATCAACACAAGACGTAAAACTACTCGGGTACGATATAGCAGCAGGCACACAAGTGATAATCAACACTTGGGCAATAGCAAGAGATAGTTCAACATGGGTGGAACCTAATGCGTTTCAACCAGAGAGGTTCTTGAATAGTCCTATCAGTTACCAAGGGTTTCATTTTGAGTTCATACCGTTTGGTGCCGGACGAAGAGGGTGTCTGGGTATTCAGTTTGCCATGGTTATTAACGAGCTTGTTTTGGCTAATTTGGTGTATAAGTTTGATTTGGCCTTGGGTAAAGGAGAGTATCTGGACATGAGTGAGGCCACTGGTCTTACTGCTCATAGAAAATATCCTATACATGTTGTAGCAACTCCATGTAACTAGTGGTGTTAAGTCGAAGTTTTATCTCTTATATATTATCAAATAAACTTTTAAGATACGTTTAAATAAACTAGAAGGATATTCGTGCAATGCAGTGAGATACATCTTGATTTTAATATTTAATTTTATTATATCTCTATCGATGTTATAATATAATTTAACTTGGTACTAAAAACACTATAATGTTTTATTTTTTTTGAATAAAATATAAATTTGAATGTATCATAAACTTTTGAAAAAAATGTATCAATTTTAGTATCAAATTAAATATTTAAAAGTTGTTGTTTTCTTTGTGTAATTTCAATAATTCAATTTTTTATTATAATTTAATTTAGATTTAATAATGAAGTCATTTATTTTTGGTTTAATAATATAATTTTTTTATAAAGATAATAATTAGTACTTTGTTAGTATCAATGATTATCTTAATATGTTTTAGATTTTTACATTTAAAATGGGATACATATCCGGTATTTAATTATGTTTATCTGTAGTTAGTTACATGAATTCAAACATCGAGTTTTAATAAGTTGTACACCCGTACAATTTACTTGTAATCTTGAATTGTAAGTAATATGCATCAATAAACAATACTTAATGCATAAACAATTATTTTTAAGAGTTTTTGTCAAATGTTTTATAATATAGTATGGATTATTAAAAGGACGTTAATATATGATCATAATGGACCAAAACGAATGAAAAGACCAAAACGAAATGGAAATTAGATTAGAATTAAACTAAAATTTGATTATATAGTAACAATCGATTCCCTTCTTTCGTTACAATTATGTAGACTCTGTTAAGTTGTAACATGATGTATAGAGTCTGATACTTGTACGCTGCTAAAAACTCGAAGGGAAAAGTGTTATAAGCTTTTGAATGGAATCATGGAAGCATGTGCACAAGCTCGTAATGATGAACACGTTCTTACTACTAGGGGTAATGAATTTATACGTGAGGCTACCTAATGGATTCTCGAATCAGTTGTTGTTTGATGTGAATCACAGTGTGCTCATCAACGTGTAAGTTGTACTATGAACAAGAGAATTACATTTTCTTTCACTTTTGATGACCTAACGGATTCCGGAGTTAGTTGTTGCTTGACGTGAATCACACCGTGCTCATCAACGTGTAAGTTGTACCATGAACGAGAGATCTCAATTTTGATGACCTAACTTCAAGATATGAGGTTTTCCTAAGTTGTTCAAAAGGATCTACGTTTTTCCATCAGTATTCTACTTTCCCCCCAGATACCTGTTCTGTTGTCATTACAAGGGTACAATAGTCAAACCATATTAATTAAATTGTTTTTAAAAATGTATAGAACTTTGAACTTTTTTATCGATATATCATCACTATCACCAATATCTCAAAAAAGAACTCAAATACATTTGAGAAAACGAATATGAAAAAATTTAATTGGTCGTTCATTTTATAGTATTTAAATACACACACACACTATATTATAAAGCATTTGACAAAAACTCTTAAAAATCATTTTTCATACATGGAGTACTGTTTATTGATGCATATTACATAAAATTCAAGATTACAAATAAATTGTGCGTAAGTACAACTTATTAAAGTTTCATGTTTGAATTTGTGTAACTAACTGCAGAAAAACATAATTACATACAGAATAAACGTCTCATTTTAAATATAAAAAATCTAAAATATAATTAGGAAAATCATTGAATTCTAACAAAATACTTGATTATTATCTTTTTAAAACTTATATTATTAAACCTAAATTAAGTTACTTCGTTACATTAAGTTAAATTATAATAAAAATTTTGAATTAAAGAAATTACACAAAATACGGACTTTTAAATAGTTAATTTGATACTAATATCGATATACTTTTTTCAAATTTTTATAATATTTTATTAAAAAATATTATCGTTTTCTCAAAACCAGATAATACCGTATTATATCAACATAGATAAAGAATAAAATGAAACATTGAAATCGGGATATATTTTAATGCATTGCACGAATACCCTTCTAGTATATATTATGGATTTGGTTCTTGTGGTTTAAGCTTTTTACCCACATTGGTCCCAAAATCAAAATTAATATAAATATGGACTCATGGTTTACATTTTCGCATCTATGAGTCCTTCCCTCTAACGAAATCAAAAAGATTTCGTTAACCAAGTTGAATTCAGGGGTATTTTTGTCTTTTTATCCATAATCCTGTCTTTATCCTATTTGTGTCCTTTTTGTACACACACATGTCACCTTCTCCGGTAAATACCCCCCTTATTCGACCACCCCTCTCTGTTTCTGATGTTCTGAATCAAAATCTCAAATCGAAACTCTGAATTTAAACCTCGAATCCAAAAATTAAGTCTAAACCTAAACCAAAATCAAAACCAAACATCAAACCTCAAACCCCTAAAAACGTAATCCAAACCTTAATAGGTGAACATGCCCCCTGCTCCCTGAATTTAACTGGGTTAACAAAAAAAATCTGATTCCATTAGAAAAAGAGACCTAAACAGCGCAAAATGTAAACTATGAGTCCATATTTGTATGGAACCGTTGTGGTAGAAAGTGTAAACCACAAGAACCAAATCCATAATGTACTCTTTAATTTCGATCTCCGTCACTATTGTTTTGAAATTACCATTTCTGTCCATTTGGTTTGCCATTTATTGTTTTTTTCTATCTAAACTAATTCCTACCTTCAAGTACAAGTGACCAAAACAATAAATAACTGTAAACCACAAGAACTGAAACAACAATAAATTGTAAATAATAAACACGAAAATAAAAATAAGTTATAAACTATAGAAACGAAAATTGGAATTTTTAACAAACCATGTACATGAGAAAACGTAATTTACCAAAAAAACATATTATATTTTTTAATTTTAAATTGTAAAAAGAAAAAAAAATACCAACAACAATTAAAAATATAATATGTTTTTTAATTTTTAGTATAATAACAATAATAAAAATGATTAAAACATCCTCATTTAATTGGATTTAACAGAAAAAATTAACGACCGTTAAATAAAGCAATAAAAAACCATTGGAAATTAACAAACATAATTAAATTGAACTTTATTTTTTTGGGGTAAATTGCATGAAAAAGTAATGTACTTTGACTTGATTTTTATTTTAGGTAATGTATTTTCAAAACTTTCATTTTGGTACTTAAAATATAAAATTTTAAACATTTAAGTACCCGGGTAACCGGTTGAAAACTAATTTTTAGATTAAAAACAAGACTAGTTTTAGATTAAAAAAAATTATGTCACTAAACACGTCAGCAAATAATACTGAGTTGGATACCATATCACTCGTCACATCAGCATGATAACTGGTTAATACTTCAATCGAGTATCCAGGTACTTAAATGTCTAAAAATTTACATCTTAGATATCAAAATGAAAATTTTGAAAATACATTACCAAAATAAAAATCAAATTAAAGTACGTTACTTTTTCATACAATTTACCTTTTCTTTTGTTATTATTTTAAGATTACTATTTTTTTTCTTTTCTTTTTGAAATACAATTATCTACTAATCAGAAAATAGTCAAATACGGTCGATCAATGTCACGGGTTGACATAGTGATGATTATCGTGATAGCCACCGTCAAACCTTAGATACACACAGCTTACCTACATGAACTCCACGAACCTTCCCCGAATTCGACTCCCCAATTTCCAGATTTCCACTCAATCTGTTCCCATTTTGAAGTTTTTGTATCAATCCATCTCCAATTTCAAACAAACCCTGTTCATCCCCCTTTCAATTTCTTATCGAGTCTTCTCTTCATTCAGTTGCTGACCATATCTTGACGAGCTCACCCCCAATTTCTCCCGACAGTTTTTATTCGGTAAATCTTCCTCTCTGCAACTTTTTCTGATTTGGGTTTGTTCGATTCAGTTCAAGAATTTACAATTTGAATCACACCACAATTTTGAAGTATTGCTTTCTCTATAAGCAGTCAGGACATAGCTACCATTTGTCAACCCTAGAGCTTATGGAAAGCAAAATCGTTATGGATATTGTAGCAATTAAGCACCCATTTTTGGTTCTTGTTGTGGATCTTGTTGTTAATGTTCAATACTGTGACGCAATTTTGCTTTGAAGTTGACATAAAGTGGAAATTGGAATTGGAATTGAAAATTAGTTGAAAATGTAGCATGATTTACACTTTATGTTCTTGAAGTGATGGGGGATTTATAGAGTTCATAGAGTAGCATTAAATTTCTTGTTCCATGAATGTATGAATTGATTCTAAGCCTGAAATTGAAGATGAATTTTGTCAATGTTTTCGAAAATGAGTGAAGGACTTGCTTTCCGTTGTACAACGGAACACAACATTTCGTAAGACCGAATGATTTTGGGCAAAAAGAAATATAGGTTTGGTGGGTTTTCTTTTCGCATTTACATTTTAACAATTCATCCAAAATCGCTCATTTTGCAAAATACCCTCTTTCCGGTTACTCCCTGGGTTAGAGGAAAGGTTGAATACATCTTTGGAAGGTACCTAGGCTATGCCCAGACTAATCTCGACAATGCGACTGTAAGACGTCAACCCTGATAGACTCAGTGGCCATAATTGTTGTGGACGCCTGAAATCAAACCCGGGGAAGATGGGATATTCCACCACATTTCAATGGCCTAAACTACTACGCCACAACCCTTGTGGTTAGCTATATGCATCTTACCCTCTCCATATGCCACTTCTTGTGGGATTTACTGGGTTAGTTTGGTTTGGTTTGTAAGAATGATTGATTAGTTTTCAATAAAAAATTTAGTATGATGTTCAAAGATCAATCATGAAAAAAAATTGGTTTTGTATCAATACAATTTTCTTGAAATGAGAGGAGATATCTTCTTGTAGGCAAGAATTGCTTTCTAGGACACGTTTTCTGTTACTTGTGCGTTATAAGTTATAACCATTGTACACAGAGCAAACATTACTTGTGATTGGTAAACATAGTAAGAGTTCGAGAGGTCAAAACAATGCTAAACATTTGTGGTTAGTAGGTTGTACGAGATAGGCGGCAATCTCTGGATTCGTCTTATCATATATAGGTGAAGATCAAGTCGAATAAGGTAATAAGGACAAGCTCGATTGGTTTGTTTTAGGTGATTGATCTTGGATCTTTTTTTTTGATTAACCTGGATATCCAACCCGCTATGTGAGCCGACTAATCCCAGGGCGACCACCTGCTTTGCAGATAGCCCGAAGTCACCGCATTTGAACCTCCGTGGCTACAAGGGGATTTTTATTCCTCCTTGGATTTGAACCTGGGACCTCCTGGTACTTTTTGACCTTTGGAGCCAAGCTCAAACCAATCAGGCACCACCCTTGTGGTTTTGATCTTGAATCTTATAGCCTAAGTTGCAAGGATATAGGTGTTGGGATAGGAGATTTTGAAAAACAAGTATGTGGGTGCATTTATTTATGTATGTATATATACATGTCTCGGAAACAAACTCTCTACCCCTTGAGACAGTGGCAAGGTCTATGTACATCCTACCCCCCAACCCTACCTCTTTGTGGGATTTACTGGGTTTGGTTTGGTTTTGTTTTGTTTGGTTTCATAGATACATGTCTAAAACCGAACTTATAAAAAAACTAAACTTTTCAAGTAAATATAGTATCTCCAAGAACCCGTGAAGACTAGAGTTCATGGGTGGCAAAAGTTCAAAGAGATCAGTTTCAAGTAGATATGCATCATATGGCTCGGCTTCAAGTTCGTATGGCTATCCACAATCATCATATCCTCAACCTCCCGTGAGCCAACCGTATGCTTCCCCTTTTCCATATCAAAGCTATCCCAATCAAGCTCCCGATACTAAGAGGAGGCTCGAGAGAAAATATTCAAGAATTGAAGATGACTACAACAACCTAGAGCAGGTAATGTTATGCCCTATGCATTTAACAACCTTTGTATACATAATCGTTCGTCTTTATGGAGACAACCTCTCGACCCCTTAGGATAGTAGCATTGTCTATGCACATCCTGCCCTCCCCGGACCCTCAAACTACCTCTTTGTGGGATATATTGGGTTCGTTTGGTTTGTACGGATACTTGCTGACATATGGTCATTCGCCAAACACTATCCGGGTCACTGGTAGATCCAACCGAAAAAAAAGATCTTGAAGTCGAACAAATTGGTTCTTGGTTGAAAGCTAAAGCTTGCATATCCATTTTCCACTTATTTTCGCAGGTTACTGATGCCCTAGCACGTGCCGGTTTGGAGTCCTCAAATTTGATCGTTGGTGTTGACTTCACCAAGAGCAATGAGTGGACAGGTTTGATTCAATCTGGAGATATATATAGTTTTCACCCGAATTTCTGTAATTTATTCTTTGAAATTAGGTGCAAGATCGTTTCATCGAAGAAGCTTGCATCACATTGGAGACGATATGAATCCTTATGAAGAAGCGATATCGATAATTGGGAGGACACTAGCTTCCTTCGATGAAGATAACTTAATTCCTTGTTTTGGATTCGGAGACGGTATAACATTAGAAACCGACATAAATCTTGATTGAGTTGTGTTTACGATTGTAATGCATATAATTTTGTAATTTGGCAGCTTCGACACATGACCAAGAAGTCTTTAGTTTCCTTCCGGATGACAAGTTTTGCGAAGGATTTGAGGAGGTTTTGAGACGATATCGGGAATTAGTACCTCAACTGCGGCTTGCAGGTGTGGTTTTATTCTGTTTTTCGATTATATTTCTTGTAAAGTTCCGTTATCTCATGTTCTTTTCGCTCGTTTTTGAACAGGACCTACCTCGTTTGCCCCTATTATCGAAATGGCCATCACTATTGTTGAGCAAAGTGGTGGTCAGTATCACGTCTTATTGATAATAGCTGATGGACAGGTAATTCAAAAAACCGATTTCAACCTGATTTATTTGGAGAAGCATTTAGGGGCTGTTTACCAAGTGCTTATAGCGTCTTACTGGGTAAGTAGTGCTTACCCGGGTAAGAAATAATGTTGTTTATCAAAATCTTCCGACCAACAAATGTTGTTGATCGAGATGTTGATCTGGTAAGAGTGGAGAGACTTGCTTACTTGGTCGGATGATCTTACCTGAGTAGCGCTTACCCAATTCCTTTGAAGGGGCTGTTTGGTTGGTTTTCTATCAAGTCCTGTATGATAAAATTGTTTGTGTGGATTAATCTATCTGTATAGATTGGGAAAGTTTTTGTTTGGAGGGTTTTTTCGTAAATGGAAGAAGTGTGTTTTATTTGGGAGGGGCAGGTGGGAAAAATCTTGGCTTTCTGCATAAACCCCCCCCCCTCCCCTCCAGAAGCTTACAGAATAAGCCACTTTCTATATTATTAAGCCACTACCAGAGAGTCATATATAGCTGAATGAATAGCTGTGTGAATAAGCTATCTGTCCCAAAATAAGTGTCCACTTTCAAAAGTAAGTGCCTACTTTCCAATTCTACCCATAATTACGAGATGGAAAAATTCATTACCCCCTCTATTATTAAGGGTAAAAATGTCATTTACTTGATTAAAAAATGTAACCATTTTTGGAACGGTGGGACTATATGATAATTGATATTGGATCACGGGACACGTATGTATTTTGGATGTCACAGGTCACGAGAAGCGTTGACACTGAACGTGGCCAGCTAAGTCAACAGGAAAGGAAAACCGTCGAGGCAATTGTGAAAGCTAGGTACTATTCTGGACGCTGAGTTTCATAGTTTCTCGATACAATTTTCTTCGCTATTTCTAAAATATCTCGACTTTTAGTGAGTACCCGTTGTCGATAATTCTAGTCGGGGTTGGAGATGGACCATGGGACATGATGAGGGAATTTGACGATAATATCCCTGCTCGATCTTTTGACAATTTTCAGGCAAGTTGTAGCAAGTGTTGTTAGAAAACCGTTTTCTTTCGAGTCCGTTGTTTTGTTAACATCCGATTTTGCTCCTTTTTTTCCATTTTAGTTTGTGAATTTTACAGAATTGATGTCGAAGAATATCGATCGGTCTAGGAAGGAAGCTGAGTTTGCTCTTTCCGCCTTGATGGAAATACCTTCGCAATATAAGGCAACGTTGGAGCTCAACATATTAGGGTAACCCTCCATATATTTAAAAATGAATACTCCCTCCATCCCAAAATATCTGTCCACAATGAAATAGACACCGTTTTAGAAATGTGTAATTGTTACACTTTTCGATTAACTGAAATGACAATTTTACCCTTAGTAATAGAGGGAATAATAAATTTCCTCAATCTCATAATTAAGGGTAAATTGGAAAGTGACTTGGTGTAGAGGTGAGGTCTGCGTGCATCATGCCCTAGACCTTGCTTCTCCAATGAGGCTGTCTGGTTAGTATTCCATTATATTATATATGGATAAAGTTGTCAGTGTGAAACTAAGGTTTTGTTTTCATAGACGGAGTGTTTTTTAATTCAGAGGAGCAGGTTTGGAAAAACATGGCTTTTTGCATTAAACTCCTAGAAGCTTACTGAATAAGCCACTTTCTATATCATTAAGTTACTACCAAACAGTCATGTATAGTTGATTGAATAAGCTGCGAGTTCCATTAAGCTGCTAACAAACGGGTCCCAAGTCATTAAAAACCAATATTTTGATGCATTTGCCTTTAATCTAATCAGTGCTCGTAGAGGGAAAGCCATAGATCGGATATCTCTTCCGCCACCTTGTTATGGTTCGGCATCATCAGGTGCACCGAAGCCATTAGGAACCTCTAGCTTTCAACCAACCGCAAGGTCGACCCAGGGAAGGCCAGCGTCGGTCAACACAAGTTACCCCGGAGGTTCCACTTCCGATAACCAAGTAAGTGATCGCTTTCTAAAATGTGACAAAGTCGATGATCTGGTTGACTTCGAGTAACCATGTGATCGCACATTCTAAACTTCCGTTTCATCACTTTTTCCAGCTTTGCCCTATTTGCATAACCGACCCGAAGGATATGGCCTTTGGCTGTGGCCACCAGGTACGATTATGACTCATAACAAAAGTGTTCTATCAACTTATTGTAACGCATTTATATAGGACACACAATTGTCTTTTTTTTTTTTTTTTGAAGTATATAATATTTATATATGGCAAGTAGAACAAATAAACTCACACACCCTCCTCACATTTGGTGAGGTTTGAACCCTTGACACTCCTAGAAGACCAAGGACTCACATACCGCTAGGCCAAAGGCCCTTTGGTTGTCTGTTTGATCCTATAAAACTCAAGTCCTATTAAGCAGTTTATTAGGACGCTCAAACATAATATGTCGTCTTATGAAACCGATTTTGTTGTAGTGACGTATCATGTCTTTAGCTAATCGTTTTGTTTTCTCGTGCATTCAGACATGTTGTGAATGCGGCAAAGATCTTCAGCTATGTCCTATATGTCGGGATCACATAGAAACGAGGATTAAGCTTTACTAAGCCGGATATGATGTACGATACGAGTTCGTTTCAAGCGCTCATCTTGATCGTATTTGGTTTTTTAGTTATGTACATATTTATTCTTTTGTGATGAACTCGAAAACCGACTTATGGGTAGCAGAAACTTTGAGCTTCTATTGAATCGCTCGTTCTTTCTCGAATATGATTGGTATTTGTTTGTATTCTGACAAAGGTCCTACGTAGAACCGTTCATCGGGCTAAAAACTAGGCCAAAACATTCGGTAGGTCAACCGAAGCCAACCTGACTCGTTTCGATTTGACGTAAAGTTTCGATTTGACATAAAAAAGTTGTTCGTTTTAACCTGTTATCCAACTTATCTGAACCGTCTATTTTATCACCTAGGATACATTTGAAAACATATATAACAAATGTACATGTACCAATAACAGCATTTGAAACAAAAATTTCGATATAATATTATAGGCAAATTTCATGAAAAAGTAACGTACTTTAACTTACTTTCAAAACTTTCATTTTGAACTTTCATTTTGGTACTTAAGATGTAAAGTTTTAAATATTTAAATACTCGGGTAACCGGTTGAACAATTAATCGATTACCATGCTCATGTAGTATCCAACTCAGTATTATTTGTTATTCAACTCAATTTCATCACATCACTCGCCACATCAGCATGGTAACCTGTTAATGTTTCAACCGGTATTCGGGTACTTAAATGCTTAAAACTTTACATCTTAGATACCAAAATGGAAGTTTTGAAAGTGTGTTACCTAAAAAATGAATCAAGTTAAAATACGTTGTTTTTTCATGCAATTTGTCCCAAAATTATATTCAAACTGCAATAGTTTTATTTATTTATTTTGAAGATTACAATATTAATTATATTATTAAAATATTTAATAATGGTATCAACATTTAATTTGAACAATCTATTGGAAATGTTCTGATCTGTTTAGTTCTGATCTGTTTAATAAGTCCTGATAATTTTCAATCTCTCAGGGCTCATTTCGTTTGGAGGAATTTGAAATTAGAAGGATTTGGAATCGGAACGTTTTGAAAGTATTTAGAATATTCGGTGTCTTCGGTTTGATTTGTAATATTTGAAATTAAATTGAATTCCATTATTTATAAATAAAAAAACAAATTACCAAAATAATTAAATTACCTTCTATTAATCGAGTATTACAAAAACGAATGCTTTTAACATATAGTTTATAACCAAGCCCTATGAAATCATGTGAAATACCAACCACCGACATGAGATTTTTAAGTCCAATGTTCGAGGAATTTCGTCGAAATCCTATGATTTCAGTTCCGAACTTTTCGTTAAACCAAACGTAAAATTGGAATGAAATCGAGTTCCAAATTCCATGAACCAAATGAACCCTTACAGTTTTATTCATGAACATAAGAACCCCATACCGATTTAAATTTTGTTAACCATCTGTCTCCGATCCTGTTTATGCGCACCTCGACTAATCCCAGGCCCGGACCTGGACTTTACAAGACTCGAACCAGTGACTTGTGAGAAGGATCTCCAAAGATTCAAGTCTTATTGTCAGTTGATCTAACCCGAACCCGTTTTACGGGTTCCCAAAAGAATCTAAGGATTTATGACATGCATGAAGAGAAAATTACCACCAAAAAGATCATTCAAATAAACCTGGTGATTACTCTTCAACTTCTCCCATAAAACCTTCAAGTCACTGAAAACCCTAGATTTTCTCCTCATTCTCCTCCTTCTAAACAGCTTTCTTAACCCCGAAACCTGAACCCTAAACCGCCTCTTTCCCACCAATCTCCGCCACGGCTGCCACCTCCTCCGCCGCCGCCGTTGTGGCGGCGGTGTTAGGGTTGTGATCAGGTGCTGTTCTTCATGATCATCAAGGTGGCCTTCTGCATTTTTCAATTTTAGATAATGAAACCTCCATAGAGATGCCAATTGATGGTCATCCCTGGCAGGATTATTTAAAGCAAAATCACCAGTTTCTTGTACTTAAGTTTGTAAAGATATATATGATTATATATATATATATATTATATATATATATATATTATATATATATATATATATATATATATATATAATGGTTGATGAAGTGGATCTGTCATGGTTTAATGAAGAAGTTATAGATTTAATTAGTAGCTGTAATTTGCAGGTGAATTAATGTTGATGTACGATGAAATTTGAGGGTGGGGCATGATGGAGAAGGCATTAAATACCTCATTTCGTTTGGAAGATGAGACTCTTTGATCTATTTAAATTTAAATTTAAATGTGGGTAAATTGTATGAAAAAATTATGTATTTTAATTTATTTCTATTTTGGGTGACGTACTTTTAGAACTTTCATTTTTGTATCTAAGATGTGAAATTTTAAACATTTGAGTACTCGGGTAACCGGTTACCATGTTGATGTGGCGAATGATGTTGTATCTGGTTAATGCTTCAGCAAATAATACTGAGTTGGATATCATATAACTCGTCACATCAGCATGGTAACCGGCAAATGCTTCAACCGTTTACCCAGATATTTAAATGTTTAAAACTTTACATCTCCAGTACCAAAATGAAAGTTTTGAAAATACGTTATTCAAAATAGGAATCAAGTTAAAGTACATTACTTTTCATTCAATTTACCCTTTAAATTAACAGCATCATCAGCATTGAGAATGAATGCGTTATATTTTTTTCTAAAGTATTTTAAGAGTGTATTAAGATAATGAATTTGTAGAATATTTTAATAAACTAATAAATGTTGGAACTTCTAAAATAAAATAAAAGCAGTTGATTCAATTTCAACCACAAGGGTGGTCTTGATTGGTTTGAGTTTAATTAGGGGTTGTTTACCAAATTTTTTATTAAGTCATGTATGAATAAATTTGTCAGTTCGGATAAATGAGTGTTATTTACTTTTTTTATCTGAATAACATAAATGACCGATTTATCTCCAACATTAATTATTTGAACATCAAACAAAATATCATAAAAAGGCCAAAGATGGGGTGTCTCATGTGGGAAGGAGGCGGTGCTTTAAATAAGGGGTAGGGGTGTCATTTTCGTGGCTGAATGGAGACAATACATCATTTCTATCTGTGCGATTAAGCCATGTTCTGTGCGAATAAGCCGTAAGTAAACAACCCCAATGAACTCTAGAAATTAGTTTTTGGTCAATCCCTCGCTGATCAACGGCCAAAAACTACTTCCCTTGCTGATCTACGGGGACTTTTTTTGTCGCTGATTTCTGTCGCTGATACTTTATTTTCTAGTAGTGAAATATTTCGACATTATAATTACAAAAAAAATCCGTATAATTTATAGACACAAGTTAAAATAAAAAATTATCACTTTTTTTTAAGTTTATAATATTTATATAGAGCAATTGTAACAAATAAATTCACACACCCTCCTCACTTTTTGTGAGGTTTGAAGTCCTGACCTCCAAGGAGACCAAATACTACGATCCTGCTAAGTCAAAGACCCTTCGATAAAATTCTCACATTTTTTGGGTGTTTGTATGTGCTTTTAAGTCATACGACATTTAAGAAATTGAACTCGAGAATCAATCGTGAAACAGCGTTTAAACAAACGTTTAATTAAATATGCGGTCAAAGTGATTAACTGAATCATAATAATCAGATTTAAACAAACATGTATGTAATTACGTAAATAAGAAAGCTTAATTAATTAAGACATATTAACTATCCCTAGCTTTATACATCGATTATATGACTATTTGATAAGTATTCATTAAGCCGAAAGTCGTTTACGAGATGAGATAAGAAATAAACGATGGCAAATCGATAGTATGTATAAAGTGCATAAACTTAAAAGGTACGTCAATCAAATCATATCGAACAAAAGGAGAAGATAAAAGGCACATGAATTATACACGAAAAGATGCGTAAAAACACTGGGAAAATGATAAACCGAAGATCGTTTTTCATCGTGAAAGATGATGTCGGAAAAGGACACCGATCGATGATGGGTTGATATATGACGAAAGTTTGTCATATTGCAATCATATAAATGAAAAGCGTATTCGATCAAATCTATATTATCCGATCAGTATTTTATATTTTTTGTTTGAAAATCGTGGGGTTTGATACTATAAAACGTACCATGCGTATGAACTACCATTTAAATTAGAGCAAATTGCATAAAAAAGTAACGTACTTTAACTTGAATCTAATTTTTTGTAATGTGCTTTTAGAAACTTTCATTTTTGTACCTAAGATGTAAAGTTTTAAAAATTTAAGTACCCGGTTAACCGGCTGAACACTAGTTTTAGATTAAAAAAAGACTAATTTTATATTTTAAAAAAAAAATTCATGTCACTAACCACATCAACAAATAATACATAACTGGATACCACATAACTCGTCATATCAACATGATAACCGGTTAATGTTTCAACTAGTTACTCGGGTACTTAAATGTTTAAAAACTTACATCTTGAATACCAAAATGAAAATTTTGAAAATACGTTACCCAAAATAAAAATCAAGTTAAAATATGTTACTTTTTTTATGCAATTTACCCTTTAAATTAGGGTGAAATATTTTTTTTATTAAACTACAGACAAAATTAAACGCCTTCATTAAACGATATATAAATAGCGATACGAATGTCTGAAATGAATACTTTTCTTTTACGAAATAAGTATTCGACAATCACAGGACCACGAATATTTAGTTTCGTCTTTTTGTCGTAGATCTGTAAGTATGCATATTTTCTCTTCACCGGTCTTTTCGTTACCAAAATCATATCATTACATACGTTACGTACTTTTCTTATATCTTATGGACATAAATTGTCACGTCTATTTTTTCCTCGATAAGAATGGCTTTACGTCAACAAATTCATTATGAATATGTTTTCTCTAAAGGTAAAAGGTAAAGTTATAATACGTACGATATGTATTTGAGAGAGAAGAGAAATCGAAGAAGATCTCTGTCTTTTAACAACGTGACGGTTGTTTGTTTCTTTTATCAGATGTGACCTTTTTATAGCCATTCATTGATGAATACATAATTGTTTTCATTTTATATTAGATCACCTCCAACACGACACTAAAAACATAAAAATGGAGGTGTTTCATCTCCAGCCTAATGCTAAAACACTAAAAAACGGAGGTCCAAAATGGAGGTCTCTATATTTGGAGGTCAATAAGTAGGTATATGTATATGTATATGTATATGTATATGTATATGTATAGAGGAGCGTTCAAATTAAAACCACTTAATTTGTACAAACCGTGAAAACCACATTCAACCAATCATAATTTTTCATTTTGTTCATTTT